AATTTTTTTAGGTAGTTGACAATGTTCTCAATTTTGAAGTTTTTATCATATGCAGGTACTTCAAGATTGTGCATATCAAGTAATATTTCTGGAAATATTATTATCAAATAGAATTTTTATCGACTAATAAACCTGTTTTAAATTATAAAAAACCTCAAATATTCCAAATATCATCATGCGCTAGTTTTGAATTCATATGTTATTGGATCTTAAGATGATCTTCCACAAATTTAAATTCATCAAAAATCCGTTTAATCTTTTTACTCTAAATTTCAAATAATTTTAAACTTGCTCATTGCACAATGATGTTTATAATGACGAATGGACATTTCAAGTTTTTTTACAAATCAACATTATTTAAAAAATTAGTTGTTTTAATCGCTTGTGTTTTTAGCATGTTTATTGCAACATACTTTATGTTGAACGTAAAAAACGAACAGCACATTTTATTATATTTTAAATGAATTCCTATTGGTTATATTGCCTGCAAACACTCCTGTATTATTAAATGATGCATTGCTCTTGTATTTTAGAGCAAAAAATCTAGCAAAAGGGCTCAAAGCAATTTGTTTTTTGCGTAAATATGCGATATTGATTGTTTAGCGGGAAAATCATTGCACAAAGTGTTTCTAACAGAGTAAGTCAAGTTTGGCATTACACAGTAGTTACTTTACTTTGTCGCTTCAATAATTAAAATTTACACACTTAAAAGTGGATATTTTTGTTAAAAATATTTATTGAAGCACATATTTCACTGATTTAAGCTACAAATTCAAGTATGATAATTACTAATATATTGTCATTTACTATAGATTACATTGTGTTTATGTTTTTTGGTTTAAATTATGAAGTAAAATCTGTAATGAGAAATAGTGAATAACTATGCATAATTTAACCTTAAAGGTTGATTTGTATATTTTAATTATAGGAGAGACGCGTGTAACCAATAAAAGATCATAAATTATATATTTTCATTTACTAAGGAAATGTGTTATATACAATCGTGCCTGAAATACTATTATTTATTTTTCAATTGTTTTATGTAAAATATATGCAAACATTCTTATGTAATTTTAAAAACTATATTACATAATATTAAAAACCAGTTTCTGTTTTATCATCCGAATGTTTTATAAATTTTAATGTTTTCTTTGTTATGTGTTTTTGTTCTTAATTGCTTAGTTTCTTCTTGAATGTTCTTGGGTTTAATATTAAATCAGTTCAATAATAATGTTGTTGCACAAAATAGCTTAAAATACAAGTTGTAGTTTATGTATAAATATATACAATAAGTGTTGTGTTTTATTAAATGGTTATAGCACATTCTTGAAGTTCTTTTTGGTGTTTAACAGAATTATGCTTTTCTTAAATTGAAAATATTTTTACAAAAACATATAAATAAATGTTTCTAATCCGAATATCAAATATGAATTTGACCTACCCTGGTTTATTAATATGTGTATACCCGAAAATATTTTAACATAATAGTATATTAGCACAAGAATACCAATTATTGATTATATAATACGGCTTTAAATAAAACGATGAATATTTTTTGTTTTGGGAGTACCAGTATTTTAATGCAATAAAGAGTATTTTGATTTGCTGTTGATGAGTATCTAGTAATATTCTATTTTGGCATTGATCAAAGGTTATTCTGTTATCAACAACTATGGTAAATTGCAGATTTCCTAATATTTAACTGGCAAATTTGAATAATGGACACTAATAAGTTAATCAACTGCACATTATTACTAAACAATAATGTGCATGTTTATAAGATATTTACTTCCTTTGAATCAAATGCTAATTAAATTATTATTCCCTTGCAATTTTTCCATGCACCTTGTTAAAATTAAAAATGTTATTCTAAGTTGTTGTTTAATCGTATATTTCAAGGAAAGGTGGTCTTATATAAAGGAGACTACAATGACAAACGTTGGCTTCATCATCCATGTCACTATTATTCTTTGAAATCCGCTTATGTATTTTTGTTTTCACCATTACCACCATTATGATCCAATGCAAAAGCATACCCTTCTTGTGCTTAAAACTATTTATACCTGCATATTAATATTAAAACATTCATCTGTATTGTATCTTGTGCTTTGGTCCGTTATTCATATTCCTTCTTTTTTTCTTGTTCCAAATACCCAATCAAAATGTCAACATTCCTAGAATATTAAAAATGCATATTCATACGAACGCAACAGTGTAATCTTACTACTGCTTATATATATGTTCTAGAATTATATGTGTTCATTTGTTGATTTGCCTTGAATAGTATATAATTGTTGTATGGTTTCATTTTCAACTTGGGCTATTATTGCAGTCATTACACTGCATATTGTATTCTAAGCATACCCCAGGTACAATATCTCTTTGGTAATTTTTCCTTATCGTTATTCTTTGACATTTTAATATTGGATTTGGTTGCTGTGGATACATTTTCATGTATTTGATAGCTTGTTCTTGCATACACATTTCGTGTTTACCTATTGTTTAACATATTAGAATATCAAACTATGTCAGTTGTAGTGATACTCGCACTTGTTTTCGTACGATTAAAGTGAAATGTGTTAAGTACTTTTAAGGGAGTGTATTTGAAGAATATCAATGATAACGGTGTTAGAAAATACAGTGGAAGAAGTGGTTTGATACGAATGTATGATTACCCTGCTATATAAATAGATATACACGCAGTCATAGCACAGGTAAACAAAAACGTTTAAGGTATTGAATTGACCATATTAGTGCAAGTATGATGAATATCGAAGCAAATATATGATAAGTAGTGTTTATACGAGATGTATTGCACAAACATATGTTATTTATTTGTATTCTGACGTAATTGTTCCACACGTTACCAAATCAGGCAAAAATAGTTTGTTTTGAAAAGGTCCATAGCAATTTTGTTCGTATAGAAAATAGAGAGGGAAATAACACTAGATAGCTCACTATACTACCATTTTAAGTACGTATAGCTGTTTCCAGCACACTACAACCTTATAAATCATATTGCCAGGTTGCGTTCTTATCTCTCCAATACTTTACAAATATGCTTTTATGCATATGTGTATCTACATATCACACCATTATCACTGTATTCAACACATCCACACCCACTTCAAGCACCTAAATACTCTTTTAATACCCTTATCAAATATTAAAATATTTTCAGGTAAATAGTATCATAAAACATCTCTATGTATGATATTATGCGATAAGCAGTATATAAATAAACGAAAAAGATACCCCTATGTGTTTCAGTTACATTCCAGCGAGCTCGTCGAGTCAGAACAATAAGACGGTAGAGCATTCCAGGAGTGAGGAGAGTTTGGAACGTGACAGTGTTGAGGTGCACTTGGATGACCCGAGTCTGTGTGAGAAAGGGCGTGTAGGACGATTAATTCAGTTCTTTAGCGGCATCAATGCAGAGTTTACTGCGCATGAGTCAGATGAAGGAGGGATAAAAAGTTCATACCCTGGGATTGAACCCACTCAGTCTGAGATGAAAGTAGAATTACAGGGGAATGATACAGATCAGTCACACTTAATATCAACCGACTATAGAGAGGTAGTCAGTGATATATGCAATGATCACACTAGTAGCAGTGTGAAGGAGAGTACTGTTACTGAGTCTAGTGATTTTCAACTGAGTATTAACCTTGGTGTTTCTGACAGTTTTGGAACCACTGATATTAGTGATTTGGCAGAAGAGGTAGCTGCAGAGAATAGTGATATAGGGAATAGTAGTCTTGAATCCGGTAGTAGCAGTATTCAATTTGCTATTTCTGATGGTAGCGGAATTAGTGAAATCGTAACGGCTGTTGAGAATGTTACTGTAATGGGCGACAGTAGCAAATCCAATGAAAGCTGTGAAACAGTCACTGTTGAAGATGTGATGGAACCTGAACAAGTTGATTTGAAATGTGTCTCAGAACACGAATCCAATTCATATTCAGCAACTGAATTTGACAAGGTATTTAAGATTGATAGTACGACTGTTATGGATTCACTTGATACAAAGGGGGATGTATCAGGTGATAAATCAGAAACAGTGAAGGAATCAATGGATTTGAATGGGGGCAACAAATTCATTGATCAAAATACAGAGTCATCTTCATATGTTGGATCAGAAAGAATGTCAGGTGAAAATGAAATAATTGAACAATCAAAAGAGACGCATATCAAAACATGGGCAGTAGAGAATAAGACTAGGAAAATAGTAATTACTTCATCAGATGGTAACATAATATCAGAGAATATTTTGGATAGATCTCAGAGAATACCACAGCCAGAAAATAGGTCGTGGTTTAGAAGATACTTTGGATGCATTTTAGGAGACTTCTGTGGGTAAATTGTAAACAATCTCGTTTATTCAACTATCCTTCTGTTATTTCGGCCTCTCAGGGTTTTCTATCTGTTTAACAATCTTATTCGATGTTCACAGTTATTAATCACGAGATTAAAACCCCTGTCTTCTTATTATACCTGTAATTGTTTATTTGTTTCCCAGTAATCTAATCAATCAACCAATCACATGTCAACTTGTGACATTCCCAGGGTTTATCATTAGATGCAGCCTAAGCGGCCCTTGTTGGACCTCTTCCACCCATTATCTTTTCCCTAAGCATTTTTATTGCCACCAAATTGTCCCTCACTTTCTTAATTGCTCTTTCGTACCTCTTTCCATAAACATAGTGCTTCTCCATCTCATCCATGAACTTCATCACCTTTGGCATCATTTCATTACTGAATATGTTTGAGAATGTAGCAGTAATAACATACCTGAACATCCCTGCGTCATCAATGTGCTTCTCAAATGCCTCAAAGTGTCCCATCACATATTCAGCAAATGCATCCCTGAGAACCGTGTTAGATCCAAATGCATGTGCAAAGTAGTGGATGTCGTGCTTCCTTACGAAACCAAATGAGATTTCGTTGCTTCTGGCATCAACAATCTTGTTGAAGTTCTCCATCTTCTTTGTTTTACCAAGTGCCATCAAAGCTGATTCCTTCACCCCTGGTAAATCAGANGGCATCATTTCATTACTGAATATGTTTGAGAATGTAGCAGTAATAACATACCTGAACATCCCTGCGTCATCAATGTGCTTCTCAAATGCCTCAAAGTGTCCCATCACATATTCAGCAAATGCATCCCTGAGAACCGTGTTAGATCCAAATGCATGTGCAAAGTAGTGGATGTCGTGCTTCCTTACGAAACCAAATGAGATTTCGTTGCTTCTGGCATCAACAATCTTGTTGAAGTTCTCCATCTTCTTTGTTTTACCAAGTGCCATCAAAGCTGATTCCTTCACCCCTGGTAAATCAGAAGTCTCATAAAACTCCTTGATTTCTTCAAAGCTCTTATCAACTTGTGATACGAAATAGTTCTTCACAAATTCCTGGTGTACGTTCTTTTCATCAACTGAATAGATCTCATTTGCTACTCCAACAGTCACAATCAACGAGTCCAATGCCAAATCATTCACGTTCTTCTTTCCTGCATTATTCAAATCCACCATTTCTAGCCTCTTTTCAATCAGAGTGTTCTGCATCTCCTTGTAGCGATTGAACATCTCAGGTGTGTCGTAGAATGCGCTCTTCAGCATCTGCAGATTCATCAGGATGTTTTCCATCACCTCGAAGTTCTTCTCTTCTGAAAACAGCTNGGCATCAACAATCTTGTTGAAGTTCTCCATCTTCTTTGTTTTACCAAGTGCCATCAAAGCTGATTCCTTCACCCCTGGTAAATCAGAAGTCTCATAAAACTCCTTGATTTCTTCAAAGCTCTTATCAACTTGTGATACGAAATAGTTCTTCACAAATTCCTGGTGTACGTTCTTTTCATCAACTGAATAGATCTCATTTGCTACTCCAACAGTCACAATCAACGAGTCCAATGCCAAATCATTCACATTCTTCTTTCCTGCATTATTCAAATCCACCATTTCCAATCTCTTTTCAATCAGAGTGTTCTGCATCTCCTTGTAGCGATTGAACATCTCAGGCGTGTCGTAGAATGCGCTCTTCAGCATCTGCAGATTCATCAGGATGTTTTCCATCACCTCGAAGTTCTTCTCTTCTGAAAACAGCTCCAGAACATCCGTCATCAACTCGCCTCTGAGAGCAAAGGCGTATTCAAACATGTCTGCTATCAAATTAAGTCTGTTGGTGGCACTGAGACCCCTCGTCTTCAACAGTTCAACCAACGTGTTTCTGTCGTATTTCACCCTGATGAATGAATTCATGCCATCATTAAGCTTAAACACCCTGCTTCTCCTTGTAATTGAAAGGGTCTCAGAATCAAAGAGAATCTTCTCGACTTCTTCCGTTCCATCCTCCTTCATCCACCTGATTTGCAGTGGAATTGCCCATGGCTTATCCTCCTTGGTGTATCCCTTAGTGAATCTCGACTGTCTCAAGACCACCTTTTCACCTGCGTCTGTGATTGTCACTCCTGGA